TATAAAATTTATGACATTATCTTATTTTAACTGTGGTGTGATGTAACTCATAAAATTATAAATTTAAAAGTAATGTAAGAACAAAAGGTGCATACCATACTTATGTAGAAGATCTGAGTTTTTATTTTGTGCAACCTATAAGGCACATTATTCATGATTAATAGCAATCCATTGAATTAACGTCTCCTTTTTTGTACATTGTTAATATATCATCCAATGTTGAATCAAAACTAGTGGAGTATGTGGTCAACCATCGCTCTTTCTCTTCGATATATGCAGTGATGTCCATATCAAAAATTGTTTGAAGAAAAACTTGCCTAGTCACACAAGGAATATATTGAAATGTTTTCTCCTCTGATTTTTGCGTTTTACTATCGGCTTCTATTGAATGTTTGTATATAGAAGCAAGTAGATTTGCATCATTAACATCTAGAATTTCTTCTATCACATTATTAGAATTACTGAGCATCTCACAATTGGAACTTGCAACATTATCCGGTGGTTCGTACTTAACATAAGAGGTATCTAAAGTGGCACTATCTTTGGGTAGAGGCAATGCTGGCAAAGGTTCATTAAGTTTATACTTCAAAAGGAATGCTTTTAATTTGTTTATTATAGCTGCTGATGTTTTGCATACTTCAAGATCACTGTCTTCTAGAGTAACCAAAAGGACCTAAAATGCAATGCAAGATATGACTTATTGGTTAAGAATTATGTAATGTAGATCTACTTACTCTCAAACAATTTTGTTTCGCTAATTCATCTAGTGCTTTATTGAGCCTCCGCTTTATCTCAGTTTCATTTAAAGATACGATTTTCCTGTGTTCTTTTGAAAACGTTACTTTTGGAAAATGACCATCGAGTACACCTTGATCGGACAAATGCGATGTTATAACGTGATTCCAGTATTCGAGAGCACTTATCTTTACTTCCCAATGAAGATCAAGCACAGCAGTTTTTGCCATTGTCAATGTCATTGAATCAATAATATTTTTCCTAAAAAATAATTACTCTATCAATGATATTGAAATGACTGACAGCAGTGCTGCACAACATTACTCACGACCATTTACGATGTACATATAATTCCTTCAGTAGAATTACTGCTTCCTTTCTGACTATAGCCTCGCTTTCATTGTTGAGTAACATTATTGCAGTATTCTGAAGTAAAAGAATATAGTTTTATTATCAAATATTAATCGAAAATCATATACCTTTTAATGACACATACAGGTAAATCAAATTGCGATAATTTTTCTTTCCATAATTTATTTATACGAACAGTAGTTGAAAGAAAAACTAAAGCAGATGCTCGAACATAGCTTTCACTGTCTGTCTTGCTAATTTCAACTGCTAGCTGTAGAAACTCATTTGCCAATAAATATTCTTGAAACGCCGGATATTCTACAAATATTTACGCATATTACATATGAAAATAACATTATTCATAAATGATTACTTACTGTCTTCTGAAATTATAGCTATAGTATTTAAAACTTCCAGTACACTATCCCTTACTTCCCAGTTGACATCATGTAATCTTTTAAACAATGTTGGCCCAATTTCGTTCATGTGACTATCTGTTTCAATTAACAGTACTAAATCAGGCGGCATAAAATTCTGAATTGCTAACTTACATACTTTTAAAGCTTTCACGCAAATCTGAAAACAATATTCAAGCATATTTATAATGCACGAATTATAAACCATCTTATGATGAATATATCTAAACTTACTATAGGCAATGTTCCAGGGTGATTTAAAATTTCTTGAGCCAATGACAACAAGCATATAGTTTCTACACATTCTTGCCATTTTAGTTTAAACTTTTCTGTCATGACTGCTAAACCATTTAAAAGTGATGATAATAATGTAGGATGATCAACTATGGGATCCCCTTCTAAGGGAAACTTATATACTTGTTTCCTTGGTCCATTTTCCAAATGTGTTGCATTAGTCATACTATCTAAAGTTTCACTGCATGCATCTGGCACACAATTTTTTAGGACATGACACATTGCTTGAAAGACAATAACTGCAATATCCTGATATGAGAATACATATATATATATATATATATATATATATACATATATATATATATATACACATATATATAGAATTATTAGATATAACTATAAACAACATATTGGTAATAATTTATAACATCATTATCAAAAATTTTCATTGCACATACCCTATCCATGATGTCCATTATTTCTAAAAGCATGTCAATATCAACTTTGGCAATCTGTGCTACAGGTACATCATTTTTAAGTACAGCATCCCTTACATTGTATCCCAATCTTTGTACAGCTGTACATGTTACATCAAACAGTTTGGTAAGAAACATATCAAAAATATCAGAATCTTTATATGTATGTTTAATACATAAAGCCAAAGGCATAATCTATTTATAGAAAAAATATTTGAATTATTTACCATTATGAAAGTATAAAAAGCAAAGTACTCACCATTATAGATATAGCTTGATGTTCAAACTTATGTTCCTGACTGAAAGAAAATTCATGCAATGATTGTAACTTTTTCCAAAATATCATTAAAAATTTGTTTGTCTTTACTAATTCTACCACATATGCTTTAGAGAGAAGCATTATAGATATATAATTCAATTCAGTGTAGAACTTCAGTGTTGTTTCTGTTTCTGTTTTTTTACCTCCTTTAATGAATTGTTTAATTGGAATGAACAAACATAGAACGAATAGCTTATGAATATGTGATAAAAGTTTTGTACTAATACATGCTTCAAACAGTGCTTTTACTCTCATTTCTAAATCAAGGAGTTCTTGGCATAATTCAGGTATTGTATTATCCATATCTGCAAACAGTGTATTCTCAATGATACTGGTTAACAGATCTAGCGTGGTACACAATAGCTTATTTTCTTCCAAATAATTATCTTGCAGCACTTGACATGTTTGAGTATCAAAATTATTCGTTATCAATGGTGCTGCCATTGCTAAAATAACTTCTTTACAAAAATTAACATTTTGTTGTTCATGTGAGAGCAAAAGCCACAAAAATTTATGGCTTTCACGAGTAACATATAGCGTGTGATTCCAATGTGCATATTTTACAACATCCTTCCAAGCATCTATAAAATACAAATTTTATCATCTTATAACTCTATATACACATTAAAAAACACATATTACTTACCAGAATCTATAATCCATTGTCTACCACTTCTATGTTTGATTAAATTAGATAACATTGTAATATAAGCCATTTTAATAGATACTGGTAAATCATCTTTACGTAGGTTAAATATGTCACATAATCTGTTGTACACGTCTTTAAACTGCCAATAATGAAACCTTAATTCATTATGTGAAACTAATCCTATAAGTTTTAAAGTAAATATAGTTATAGGTTGGGAAGGAAGGCACTCAGAACTCCAAGTGTGCAGTGCTTTTAATACCCATTTTTGAAACAATTCATAATTCTCATAACTATTTGTGTCACCTGGAATTAAATGATAAAATACATGATAAAATACATGATAAATTATATATGAATACAATGAATAAAAATGGAATAAACATAACAAAGATTAAAAAATGAATTCTTTATAATAATTTTACTATGCATTATGATATAATTTATAAAATAGTTTTCTTACACTCTTTAATATCTTCGGAAATATGTGATAATAGAAGATCAAGATAGGTAGTAGACACAATGTTATAATTAGGCAACAGAAATAGCTGCAAAACTTCGGCTAATCTTTTATTACTATTTAACGATGACATTATGTTTTGATATGAAATTTTTGTATATTTGTGCGACATAAAATGTTTCTTTTTAGTTTCTTTACTTTCTGTTCATGCTTTTTTGTCCACTGATAATTTCAAAATACGCACATAATATTATCATCCATTGCTTTGAACAGCAAACTACTATTTCTATCACTCACATATTTTCTGCGTTTTATAACTCAAAAATCAGGTATGTAAATAAAAACTTGATTCCTTAATTAAACGATTTACAGATAACTGAACACTTGTATGGCCCGAAATAAAGAACTATTTCCAACAAACTTATAGGGCAATCATTTAGTGGTCTTGTTTATTTTTAGCGGGCTTTTCAAATTATCAGTAATTGTATCTCTGATTTATCGTAGAATAATAATATATCTTTTTTTTCAAACAAACAAAACTATAAACAAATTTTAATCATTATAGGAGTATATTTTATTTCCTAGGATTATAAAAGTGTATAATTAGAATATATTTCTTTTTCCTTTAATATTTTATTCTACACGTTTCACTCGAAAAATAAAACTTAGAGTGGCTTGTAAAAATACGTACATAGGTATTCGTATACTTTTTATGAACACATTACGTGTGTTATACTTGGTTAAACGAAATATTTTTAAATTTCATTCGCGCCATAACGACATTCAATTATCATAATTATATTGGTAAAATATTAAACAATTGTAAAAGTGTTTAGAAGTTGCAAAATATTTACCCTAAATTTATAATCTTATATTATATATGATATAATATATTATATTATATATAATCTCATAATAATATAATCTTATATTTAATAAAAAATTAATATACAGTATGAATAGTCATCTGAAGCATATAATAAGTATTAAAAATAATCCCACTGAATACTGAAACTTGTTAATATTGTGAATGATTACCTGTTTAAATATTTGTATGATTTCTGCAAAATATATAATATATAAATGCACCTGTATGCATATGTATACATATATATGTATGTGTATGTATACAAAATATATATATTGCGTCAAATATCTTGCCACTTCTAAATATTTTCAGAATTATTTATTATTCTTCAGTCTAATTATGTCCTATACTAAGAACCTATACTTACAACCTATAACTAAGAATGAAATATTTACAAATGTATTATTGCGCGCTTAACATGCAAAATATAGAAAATTATTGGAATTGAGAACCCTTAATGCTGAGATTGATATGTTCAGATTATTCCTTCAGTAACGTGAACGTGAGAACAGTTAACAGTGCTACCTTCACATTTCTCTGGTGATGTCTACTTATCGTGCCTTTATCATTTCTGTGCAATGAACTCGAATTTGTTACTTTATTTTTTATAAATTATAATAGTGGTTTATTATAATTTATAATAGTGGTAATACCATGTTAAAAATTCAAAATATTATTCACTAATTCTATTCTAGCGATAAATGCACTTAATCTTACACTTTATACATACATATAACTGTGGCTTAAAAATTTTGGAAATTATCATTTTTATCGTATTTACTATTATATATTTAGGAATCTATATCATAAAAGTTATCTATATCTTAATTATTTGGGTAACAACTATATTTCAATATTATAATAATCTCTTATTTGTTGAAAGATGTAATCTGACGTTTATGAGCTTTTCGTTATTTATTTTCGGAAAATCTCAATATTTTCAATTTTTACTTATTTGGAATAAATGATATGATTTTAATTTATCCTTAAATTATTGTACGATGTGAGCTGTGCTGTAGTAATAAAAATATTTGCTCGTCTTCCGTTTGACATTTGTAAATTTTTATCTTCGTGCAATGAATCGTGAATCATTTATTTCCTATTAGTACACGTACCTTAAATTTTCAAGTAATCATTGTATAATAGAATTTAAAAGAATTTGATTTTATAATATTATTTATGAATATAAAGATATGAAATTTCTACAATTGTCAATCAATATCAATATATAAATATATATCTTTTTTAAAATATGAAAGTTATCTTTAATTATATTGTTACATTAAAATAAATCCTTTTTTGATGCTCTAATTAAAAGTATTAAGTTTGTAGGAAACATATTTCGTGATTATATTCATGAAAGCATTTAATCATTACTGAGAATAAGCATTTACATTCTTTTGTTGTTTGAAAGCATACTATCACATTATCTCATTTTTATTGAGTTAATAATCACAGATATAAATTTAACGTTGTATACACTATCATTATTTAAAATATCTTTGAATTATCACTATAATTTTAATGTATAACTGTTTCTTATAAATATATCTTGTAAATAAATTCTTATAAATTTATAAATTTTGTTTCTAGAGATTGTAGAACTATTTAAAAATGGCATGGACACGCTATCAATGTATTTTAGCAGCACTAATGGTTGTTACTGGGTCTTTCAATACTTTATCTGTAAAGTATGTAAATAAATTAACTGTCAAACTATTAAATTATGAGTAATTAAATTTATATTTTTAGATATGCAGATCAACAAGTTGTACCAGATGAAAATGGTCAACCTAGGCATTTTAATCATCCTTTTATGCAATCATCTTTCATGTTTATTGGAGAGATGATGTGTCTTTTAGTATTTAAAGTCCTTTATCATTATTATAGTCGCAGAGGAGTAAGCATCTTTCATTGCATATACATATATTTATTAAATAGAAAATATCTAAAATTGAATTTATCATATTAAAGGATAATTCTGTGGACAGCAATCCGTTAACTAAAGGCTCACATGTATTTAATCCTTTTATTCTACTGATTCCTGCCTTATGTGATACATGTGCTACTTCTATTATGTATGTCGGCTTGAATATGACATATGCTAGTAGTTTTCAAATGTTTCGTGGTGCTGTTATAATATTCACTGCTGTGCTCTCAATGGGTTTTCTTAATAAAAAACTGGTTAGTAGGGAATGGTTAGGTATAGTAATGGTTATAATTGGTTTAGTTCTCGTTGGGCTTAGTGACATAACTATGGAAAAATCAGATGTCAGCACAAATTCTATTTTAACTGGAGATTTACTTATCATATGTGCACAGGTAAAACTTCATTTTATATGTTTTATATATTTTGTATAATTGTATATTTTATATTTTAATGTACATATTTTTATAATAAAATTGCTTTAATTTGCGTAACAATTATTGTCATAGGTAATAATTGCTGTTCAAATGGTCATAGAAGAAAAGTTCATAGCAGGGCAAAATATACCAGCGTTGCAAGCAGTTGGCTGGGAAGGTTTATGAAGTTTCTGAAATACAAGTTTCTGAAATATCTAGTACATAAAAATATATTCTAACAAACATATATTTTATTTAGGTATATTTGGATTCATTACTATATGCATTATAATGATTCCCCTTAACTTTATACATGTCCCACCTCCTTTTGCTGACAATTCGCAAGGAACCCTTGAAGCTACTAAAGATGCATTTATCCAGATTGGAAATAGTGGTTATTTACTGATGGCTATAGTTGGTTAGTATATATAGACATATTTACTCTTATTTATTAAAATTTATTTTTTAAATGATCTTCGTACAGGTATATCATTCAGCATAGCTTTCTTTAACTTTGCTGGTATTAGTATTACCAAAGAAATTGGTGCTACAACAAGGATGATATTAGATAGTGTTCGAACAATTATCATATGGGCTTTCTCTTTAGCATTTAGATGGCAAGCCTTCCATTATTTACAGGTAAATTTCATAATTGATTTTTTCTGTTCATAATGAAATTGTATCATCTAAAATTAAAATCAAGTCACATATGAACATGTACGTATTTAATTTTTAGCTCATTGGATTCATTGTACTACTCATTGGAATGTGTTGTTATAACAACGTTATTATTCCTCAACTATTAAGAAAATGTAGATATCGTTTAGGCCGTCATAAACCACCACCAACTGATCGTGAGCGAATTATTAATACAGCAGCAGATGATATTCCAGAAACGCAATAAAGATATATTTCCCTTTAAGTGTACTTTAATGTTCACTATTTTGTGATGTTGAGAACTATTATATAGTTTCTCTAATGGTAAAGTCTGCAATCACAATAATATGTAAAATGCTTTCAATTTGTTTCATTTGCAAAATTCATTAAATTTATCAAAATCAGTACTTTTGCAAAGTTAATTAATTAGCACAATTCTTGTAAAATGTATATTATAGTTAGAAAATCTCGAATTTTTTATTTATCTTTTAAGTTGAATGTGAAAAATAAGTATTGTCCCAATTTTTATACAAATTTTCTGAAAAATTGCATTAATTAAAACAAAATTCTCATTGTACAGCAAAATCTTTTAGCAGAATCTCAAAGTTCTACTTATAGGTATGGTATTTTGAATGAAATGACGGTATTTTATACATATACGTAAATATATTTTACTACTGTAAAAAAATGTGTTAAAAGATGTATTATTGCAAGGAAATATTAAGTTGTTTCTTCATGGTATATTTCTGCTCTCCTTATTTCGTAGTATTCATATATAGTTGAACTGAAATTTCCACCTTTGAAGTCTAATTGAATAAGTTTTGTTACTCTACCTGCTTTGCTTTTTTATAAGTTTCATACTTATTAATAAACATACGCGTGTAGAACATTTATTTTCTATATTCTATGTATAGTTAAGATATTAAATTTTGTAAGATATTAAAAGAGAAGGATAGTACTTAAAGACACATGTATTTATTATTTCCTACATACTTTATATATACGTGATAAACTAATTTGTGCAAAAAATTGTTAACATAGCATATACACATATGTAACATGCGCATACAGCACGTGTTTATATATGCATACATATATACATATGTATGTAATAATGATATACAAGTACGCATGATTAAGCACGCACGTATACCTAATAACATTCTCTAAATAAAATAATATTGACATTTTTATAAACCAGAAAAGATTATGTGAATTATAATCTTCCATGAATTATAATTATGAAAAATAAAGTAGTAATGTACTGCACATTAATCAGCGATTATAAAATATTTTCAATTCAAGTTCTGTTTTCTGACCACATTACAAGTGCTTTATGGAATGTTTATTTGTAAGGCTAATTTTTTCTGTTTCCCGTATTCATATCTAAGTTCTGGTCACCACCAACTTAAGTTTAAAATCGCATTTATATCGAATATAACCGACTAGCGATAAGGAAAACTAATTTATCATACAAGAGCTTTCACTTATGCATTGATATTATAACATTTAATATCAAACCAAACATACGTGGTACTTTTTCTAATTTCTCACAATTATGAGCAAAACATGTAAGACATAACCATCAGAACTATCTAAATTTCTTAAATGAATACGCAACATTTATTATGCTTTTACGACAAACAATGTAAATGGAAGATGAATTCAATTATATTGTTCTGGCAATACATAAGAAATATCATCCCAAGGATGTCGGTATAAACCTTGTTTCAACCTTTTTTGATCCATGTAATGACCTGCAATAATACAATAATTATATTGTTTGAGTATTGTGCATACCTTTTTATACATTATTGCACTAAGCCAAAGAATACCTACCAATAAAACCTATACTTCTACCAAGAACAAATAAACTATTTATAGCACCAATTTCGATATATTCTTGTGCTTCTTCTCTTGTGAAGCTTCCACTGTTCCTCAACATATCAACAAAAGCACAGGCAATTATACCATCCACATTCAAGATTAAATTAGGCTTCTTACTCGTGGTTATTTTCTCAACTTCCAGTGCATATTCTACCAACGGTCTGGCAGGGAAATGCTCCATTACATATTCTTTAATGAGTTTTACCCGCATGTCTGGATTATTTATGGACTTTATACGATGACCAATACCCATTATGAGTTTGCCCTTCTTACGTGTATTATTTACAAACTCTTGTGGATGTAATCCAGCATCATATGCTTCAGAGAACATACGAGCCGCACCATCCAATGCACCACCGAAACGATCACCCTGTGATTAAAATTTTTATCAAATATTAATATTATTTCTTACATGAAAGTAATACACAAAAGTGAATAACATACTATAAAATTTCTTTCTTATACTTACGATAGTCAAAAGACCAGATACTAGAGAGCTAACTAAATCTTTACCAGCTCTTGCACAAACAATAGTGTTATGTGCCCCTGACACGGCAGGCCCGTGATCAGCTGTTAACATTAAAGACATTTCAAGAAATTTACAATACATTGGCGCCAAGCATCGCTGGAACCATAATAATGAAACTACACCACCAATTCCTACGTTCTGCTTAAGAACTTCTGTTACAGGCATTCCAGCATATAATAATTCTTGGCCACGTTCATCACATATCGAGGTCATGAATGAAGCTGGTTTTCGTATCAGACCGAGTTCCTAAAAAGGAATTAAGTTGAGGATGCTCTTCATGATGCTTACATATGTATACACACTAATATGTAATTTAATAATGCAATAGTTAAACATACCCTAGCCCAACTGTAATCCATAGGAACAGTGGGAGGAGGAACTTCCGGTGCAGGTACTATCACTCCCTCTTTTACAAGATTATTGTAAACAGTCTGCATTAAGTCACCTAAGCTATCAAAACTGTCAGGAACAAAAGCACCAGCTTCTTTTAATGCAGCATTTTTGGCAGAAGCTGTTTCTAAATTGCTATGTGCAATAGATCCAGCATGACCAAACTGTACTTCAGATTTGAACATGCTGGCGCAGGTACCGATGCACCAAGCGATCAATGGCTTTGTAATTCTCTTTGTTTTCAGTGCTTGACATACTTCATACTCTTCCACACCACCGACTTCACCAAGAAGTACTATAAGCTTCACTTCCGGATTTTCTTGATAACGTATAATGTGATCCATAAATGTTGTTCCTGGATAACGATCTCCACCAATTGCGACACCTTCCAATACTCCATTAGAAGCTTTGGAAATTATATTATTTAGTTCATTAGACATGCCTCCGGAACGAGAGACATATGCAACACTAAAAATAACAATTTCTTAGTATAAAGCAAGATTTGAAAAAAAGAATATTGTAATATAACGAACAATGGTGGTACCTGCCAGGCCTGTAAAGTTTACTATGAAGAATATTGTCCATCATTCCACCGGTATTACCAATTTTGAAACAACCAGGTTTGAGACCTCCAACGGTGGCTGGACCGATGATAGTAACGCCTTTATGTTGCGCCATTAAAATTAACTTTCTCGTCATATTTTCAGGTATTCCCTCAGCAATAATAGCAATTGTTCGAATTTGAGGGAATTGCATGGTTTCCACAGCGCTTTCGTATGCGGATCTTAAGGATGCAAACGTGACCATAACGTCAGCATCTGTGTGTTTAGTCATGGCGTCTTTCATTTGTTTATAGACAGGAATGAGTACCTATCATTAAAAAAAGAAATTGTACTATACTTTCAACAAATTTCATTCAATAAAATGAAAACAATTGTTTAAATTATACCTCTTTGTGACCCCAGTAAAATTTTTGTTTGTGGTCACCCGTGAAAGGATATACAATGGCAGCTACGGATGGTTCAGATCTACGACAAATGAAGTCAAAGTCTAACATACTTTGAACAGCTCTATTTTGCATTCCCCAGATAATGGATCTGGTTTTACAACTAAAGAGCTGTTTGTGTGATGATCCGTCAACAGAGTTGCTTGCTTTTAGTTTGGACTGTTTAGTGGGTAAAGAGGAAGCACTAGCAGAGGGAGCTGAAGGACCTACATCTTGTCCCGAGGGTAACAAAAAATTTGCAGTTGAAAATTCCTGTGCTTCAGGATCTGGAATTGGCTTTTTGCCTAATGCCATCGCGCATATAGCTGTCATGTGAGTTTCTGGACCGAATACATAAACGGGAATGCCGAGTCTTTTACCAACTTCACGTATAATTCTAGAATTCGACATATAAATCATTTGTTAAATATTTGCTAAATATGATAATTAGAATCACATTATTTAAATGTATTTATACCTTAGACCTTCTTGATAATTAGGCCCCGCTCTTCTTACGAATATTTTTACGTTATGATCTACGAGTTTAGGCTGGTACTCTTGTAGTGCCTTTACAATACCTTTGAAAGTGGCAGCTACATTTGTAAAGTTAGCGATACCACCACCAATGATTAATACTTTCCCCTCTGGCCGTTTTTCTTTTGTCATCAAGCTCAGAATGGTTTTTGCGTACTCGTAAGTTTGTTGTTCGCTAGGTGCACCAGAATATTCTCCATAATTAGCTAATTCATTTGCAGCTCCCAAATCGCAAATAGTGTCCGAGTATATCACGGATGCTCCTGAAAGAAAGGTGATTAGAAAATGAAACATGCAACCGAAAGCGACAAACCTTTGTTGAAATAAAACAAACGATTTGACAATCACAATTTTGTTAGAATAAACTCGATTAATCACGTAAATGATACTGCTGTGCGCTTCTACTGACCACCGCCAGCAACCATTGTCCATATCCGACCAGCTGGATTAAGAATAGTCAATTTCAAGCTAGCTCCAGATTTAGAATCTAAATCGGCGATGTAGGCCTCTTCTGGATAAGCATCCCTTCCAAATGGTGGTGGATAATCGATATCTCCCCAGTCAGGTCTGCAGATGAAGTCCGCAGTTGTGTCCAACTTTGCAGCGAGATCAAGTATATAAATTCCATTTTTTGTTACCACCAATGGATTTATCTCTAAGTAAGTGAAATATAAGTTAACATAAAGCTTATATAGAGATTCTACAAATTTGCCAATCACTCTGAAAAAAAAATATGAACATTCATTACCAAGAAGTGTATGCAAAATGAGAAGATAATATACTTGGACATATTTTTTACTCTTTTTTGTCATCTGCTACGTGTATTAATAATTTATTGATTATAGTAGACCGATCTGGTGCTTCTTCTCCAACAGGTACATCTAATTTCAAGGCCTTTGCATCAACATCCCCAATGTCAACA